AGGCATGTGCCACCATGCCCGGCACAAAAATAAATTTTTAAAGAAAAGAGTTCTGCCATTGAGCTATATGTCTAGTCCCTAATCTAAATTTAATTTTTTAAAAATTTAAATGTGTGTGTTTGTTTGTGCTCCACACTTGTCCTTGTGGAGGTCAGAGGATGACTTTTTTCCTTCTACCATGTAGGTCCTGGGCATCAAATTCAGGTCATTCATTAGTCTTGTTAGCCCACACAACTCAAAATTTAAAGCTGTGGGGTTGGATAGATGGCAAAGGACCCAGGTTTGGTTCACAGCACCACACAGCAACTCACAAATGTCTGTATCTCCAGTTCCAGGGAATTCAAAGCCTTCGTTTAGCTTCAAGGGCCACTGCACACATGTAGTGCACTTACATACATGCAGTTAAAACATGCACATTAAAGCAGGCATGGTGGTGCATGCCTTTAATCCCAGCACTTGGGAGGCAGAGGCAGGCGGATCTCTGTGAGTTCAAAACCAGTGTGGTCTACATAGTGAGCTCCAGGTCAGTTGTAGCTACAGGGAGACCCTGTCTCAAAAAACAAAGACAAAAACATGCACATTAAAAACAAATATTTTGGGGCTGGAGAGATGGATCAGTGGCTAAGAGCACTGACTGCTCTTGCAGAGGACCTGAGCTCAGTTCCTACTTGGGTGGATGTAACTATCACCTGTAACTCCAGCTCCAGGGGACATGATGTCCTCTTTTGTATCCTTTGGCCACCTATACTGATGTGCACATACTCACACACAGACACACATACAAGCATGTAATTAAAATTTCAGCACCCTCTTCTGACCTCCATAGGCATTACATGAGATGGGTGCACTTATATCCATACAGGCAATGTAGGCAATACACTCATACACATAAAATAATAAATAAAATATTTAAAAAAACAATATTTTTTAAAATTTAGAAGCCAGGGGCCTGGTAGTACACCCACCCCTTTAATCCCAGTACTCAGGAGGCAGAGGCAGGTGGAGGATCTCTGTGAGTTTGAGGCCAGCCTGATCTATATAGTAGGATCCTGTCTCAAAAAAAAAAGTGAGAGAGAGAG